ATACAGCACAGCACAGGCATAGCACAGAGCAGGCACACAGCACAGCACAGCACAGAGCAGTGCACACAGCACAGCACAGAGCAGCACAGCACAGCACAGCATATAGCACAGAGCAGCAGTAATCACAGCATAGCACAGAGCAGTGTAATACAGCATCAAGACAGATATAATCAAGCACACCAGCATACAGCACACAGAGCAGCACACAGTACAGCATAGTACAGAGCAGTGTAACACAGTCACAGCATAGCACAGAGATAACACAGTACAGCACAGATACAGCACAGAGCACACAGCACAGCATAGTACAGAGCAGTGTACAGCACAGCATAGTACAGAGCAGAGAATACAGCACAGCACAGCATACAGCACAGTAACAGAGCAGTGCACAGCTATGTTACAACAACAGCACAAAAGACAGTGTATCACAGCACAGCAATAAAGATGTAACAAGATACAACAGAGTGCACAGCACTGTTACTAGCACAGAAGCAATGTACCAAGCATAGCAGTACAGCAACAGTAATCACAGCACAGCATAGCACAGACAGCGCACATTACAGCACAGCATTGGTATATTAGCGTACAGCACACATAGCACAGAGCAGCGTAATTGTAACAGCACATATAAAATACAGCACAGAGCAGTGTAACACAGTGCGCATAGCAATATGCTGGTACACAGCACAGCATAGCACAGAGCAGTGTACACAGCACACATACACAAGCACAGAGCAGGCACAAAACAGCATAGCACAGAGCAGTAACACAGCACGTTACAGTACACAGAGCAGTGTAACACAGCACAGCACAGCATACAGCACAGCACAGAGCAGTGCATACAGCACAGAGCGTGTAATCACAGCAATAAGATAGCACGAGCAGTGTAATCACAGCACAGCATATGCCGTTAACAGTATGGAACAGATACAGCACAGCATCGTACAGAAACCGTAGTAATACGGTACGCAGTCATGAAGCAGTGTAATCACGCTACAACAGCATACCAGCAATGCACAAGAGGCGCAATCGACAAGCATCGGTACACAGACAGTGCAACACACAGCATAGCACAGAGCAGTGCACACACACAGCACAGCATAGAGCACAGCAACAGCATAGCAGAGCAGTGTAACACAGCAACACAGTACAGAGCAGTACAGCACAGCATACAAGCAGCAGTAAATAGTACACATAGCACAGAGTGCACACAGCACAGCATAGCACAGAGCAAAGTGTAATCACAGCATACACAGCATACAGTACAGTACAGCATAGCACAAGCAGTGAACACAGCACAGCATAGCACAGAGCAGTGCAATACAGTAATATACAGAGCAGTAATACAGTACAGCACAGACATACAGTACAGTACAGTATAGCAGAGCAGTGTAATACAGTACAGCATAGTACAGAGCAGTGTAATACAGTACAGCATAGCACAGAGCAGTGTAACACAGCACAGCACAGTATACAGTACAGTACAGAGCAGGTAATACAGCACAGTACAAAATAGAGCAGGTAACACAGCACAGTATAGTACAGATAGTGGCAGCATAGTACAGAGCAGTGTATACAGTACAGCATAGTACAGAGCAGTGTAATACAGCACAGTATAGTACAGAGCAGTGTAACACAGCACAGCATACAGCACAGCACAGAGCAGTGTAATACAGCAACAGCACAGAGCAGTGTAACACAGTACATAGTACAGAGAGTGTAATACACACAGCATAGCACAGAGCAGTGTAATACAGTACAGTATACAGAGCAGTGTAATACAGCACAGCATAGCACAGAGCAGTGTAACACAGCACAGCACAGTATAGTACAGAGCAGTGTACAGCACAGCACATAGCACAGAGCAGTGTAATTCAGCACAGCATAGTCACAGAGCAGTGTAATACAGTACAGCATAGTATGAGCAGTGTAATACAGTACAGTATAGTACAGAGCAGTGTAATACAGTACAGTATAGTACAGAGCAGTGTAATACAGTACAGTATAGTACAGAGCAGTGTAATACAGTACAGCATAGTACAGAGCAGTGTAATACAGTACAGTATAGTACAGAGCAGTGTAATACAGTACAGCATAGTACAGAGCAGTGTAATACAGTACAGTATAGTACAGAGCAGTGTAATACAGTACAGTACAGTACACTAAGATGGTTGTTAATGTTAACTCCGAGTTCTTGGCATTGTCTGACGTTTTTGCCAGTTCTGACAGATGCTAGGTAGTACAGTACTGTAGATAACAACACCCTCTCAGTCTCACAGTATTTTTATGAGTGGTTTGTGACAGTCTATTGTTTTATATTTTTTTTTACGGGGATTAGCCCACCCGGGCACAGGTCACTGACCCACACTACATCCTTGACCACCGAAGGGTCAAGACGTACCTGGCGCTCCTCTCGGAGCAGCCAGGTCAACTGTTAAGTTGGCCCATACCAACCCCCTCCCCTGAACCCTCCTCCCCACCGGAATATCAACAAGTTCTCGCCAGAAGTTACAATTTCATTTAGGAAAGGAACGGAACCAGTGTTAAACAGAGGTGAACAGTGCTTAAGTCAGTGAGAACAACTCAACAGTAACAGTCGTACCCAAGTTAACCTTCACACAGTGAGGTCCCAGGTACCCAGTGACAGCGGCCAGTGAGACCTAACAACAACCAGCGATGTGTTAATCCGTCTACGATAGGAAGGCCTAAGACCAAACCTCACTCATATAACACCATCTGTGAGGGAATTACTACACCACATGTCCCTCATAACACCATATGTGAGGGAATTACTACACCACGTCAAGTCCCTCATCACACCATCTGTGAGGGAATTACTACACCAAGTGAGGTCCCTCATAACACCATCTGTGAGGGAGTTACTACACCACGTGAGGCCCCTCATAACACCATCTGTGAGGTAATTACTACACCACGTGAGGTCCCTCATAACACCATCTGTGAGGTAATTACTACACCACGTGAGGCCCCTCATAACACCATCTGCGAGGGAATTACTACACCAAGCCAGGTCCCTCATAACACCATCTGTGAGGGAACTACTACATCACGTGAGATCCCTCCTAACACCATCTGGGAGGGAGTTACTACACTACGTGTTTGCTGTTCAACACCTACATTAATCTGTATGTTCACTGTATGTTCCTTTACCTTTCTCTAATGAAGGCTTTTGTTAAACCACCAATGTATGTAATAAGTCATTTATGTCCAATGTATATTTTCAGCCTTCGGGCAGCAGAACTTTTTCAATAAACCGTTAATTATTATTATTATTACATCAGGGCCTGGGGGCGAAAATATAGCAGAAGCAATAATAATAATAATAATAATAACAATAATAATAATACTAATAATAATACTAATAATAATACTAATACTAATAATAATACTAATAATAATACTAATACTAATACTAATAAATAATACTAATAATAATACTAATACTAATACTAATATTAATACTAATACTAATACTAATACTAATACTAATAATAATAATAATAATAATAATAATAATAATACTAATAATAATACTAATAATAATAATAATAATACAATAATAATAATAATAATAATAATAATAATAATAATAATAATAATAATAATAATAATATTAATTAATAATTAATAAAAATTATAATAAATAAAATAATAGTAATAATAACAAAAATAACCATAAATAATAAAGAAAATAAAAAAAGAAAAGGATCACTAGTGAGAAACAATATACATTATGTCTGTTGTGTTGTCAAAGTAAGAGAAACAATTGAGACCCTGCAATTGTGTGTAAATGAGGCAGAAAGTAAGATCATCAACCTGGGACTTGGTCACATATGGCAGCAGGGTCTACCATTAGACAACACATTATGCTTCCAATATCTTCCCAGGCGGTAGTACCTCCCTGTTTGGTAGCTGCTTACTTCCTTACTGCCAAACCACTCAGCCCAAAAAATGATGTAAAGTAACCATTGTAAGCAAAAACAGAACTCTCCATAACACGTCAGCAGTCAGCTGTGAGATGACGACACACATCACCATAGTTACATGTTATCAAACTGTAAAAGTTGTCAAAAACCAGAAATAAAGAAAATATGGTACAACCTCGATAAATTGGACTAATTGGGGCAAACCCTAATCCGAAAAAAGCAAATACAGTGGTCCCTCGATAAACGAACGGTCCAATTAATGAAATTTCGGTTAACAAATTAGTTCCCATAAGGATTTTTAATTCCATTAACGAACAAAACTTCGTTTTTAACGAAAGCCTTCCGAGAAACACATTTTGTTGTGCACATCAACAGATCGGCCAGTCCGCCAATACAGTAGGTAATCAGTTCTATGTTTACATTTGTTTCCAGTGAAGTAAATATCAAGAAAGTTGGTCTCTTGAATATTTGTGCATTTTTTATATTAAAATTATTGGTCATTCTGAAATTTAGTTTACATATTGATAATATAGTGCAGAAATTATTATGAAACATGAAGAAGGCATTAGAACCAGTGCACTCTGTAAAGAATATGGCATGTCAACATCGACTGCCTCTACAATCAGCTGTTTGATATGTAAACAAAGCTGCCGGGAATACTACATACACACCTCAAAGTAAGTTAAAATACAGTGGCCCCTCGGTTAACGAACTCAATCCGTTCCAGAAGGTCGTTCGTTAACCGAAACGTTCGTTAACCGAAACCATTGTTTCAATGGGTTTTTGGGTAATTGGTTCCAGCTCACCGAAAATTTCCTAAATTCAACAAAAATGGTAGAAAAGTTCACTTACTTTGAGGTGTGTATGTAGAAGGCTCCTGGATGATGATGATGATGATGGGATTTAGAATGGGGGTGGAGGAGAAGGAAGAAGAGAAGGCATTGGGGTGGAAGAGAAGTCACCCCATGGTGCCATTTCACCCATAAAATTTTAGCTCTCTGGTTTAATTCAAGATTATTTTCTTTAAATCAACGCTGCACTGCATTATATATTGTCAATATATAAAATATATTTCAAAATGACCAATAATTTGCTTGGAAACACAGAAAAAAAGCGTTTAGTTGAAGAGAGTCTCAAGCAAGATGTTACCTCCAGTGAAAACAGAGAGAGACTGACGCCTGTTTGCTGTGTTAAGAGGCTGGATGCCGCGCATTAAACTAGTCACTTTACCTTCAATTTTGTTCAATAATTGTTAAAATGACTAAAAAATTGAATATTAAACTTTTAAAATTATTGAATAGTATAAACTTCTTGATATTTACAAAAATAGTAAGGAATTTAAGCCCTAGAACCGATTAATGTATTGGCGGACTGATACTAAAGCTGGTTGCCCGGTCAGTGCAAGCGAAAACATGTTGAGGTCGGTTCGTAAGAAGTTCGTTAAGCGAATTTTTTTTCGTTAACCGAATTGAAGATCCTTATGGAAGGCAGTTCGTTAATCGAAATTACGTTAACCGAGGTGTTCGTTAAACGAGGGGTCACTGTACAGTACATTATTCTTTTGTTTTTTATTTATTATTGTACAGTACTGTATTTAGTTTATATTTAATGTTTTGTCAATTCTATTACTGGTATACAGTACTGTACTTTGTATGTACTTTTTCTTTGAGTTGGAACCAATTACCCAATATCCCATTGAAATAACAGGTTCGATTAACGAAATTTCGGTTAACGAACAAAACTTTGATAAACAAAATCCTTACAAACAACACGTTTTGTTGTGAGCATCAGCTGATGGGCTAGTCTGCCAATTCAGTAATCTGTTCTATGTTTACATTCGTTTCCAGTGGAGTAAATACCAAGAAAGTTGTGCTCTTTAATATTTTTGCATTCTTTATATTACAATTACAGTGGCCCCTCGGTTAACGAACGCCACGGTTAACGAACGCCTCAGTTAACGAATTACCTTCCATAAGAATATTCAATTCGGTTAACGAAAAAAATTCGGTTAATGAATTCCTTACCAATTCCTCTCAACATG